CTGACCAGAGGAATGTGTTAGCAATATATGACAGGCAAAGGCACACAAAAAGAATGCACAAATATCTCTAAAAATACATTTAAAAGAACAAATGACTCCATAGACTAATGGCTAAAAGATAACCAAATATGAGAAACTAAAACAGGTATGGGTTATACAGCTACATGATGGAGTCAGGATTCAAACTGTGACAGCCTAAATCCAAGAGCTTTGATCCTGACTACCACGCTAAAACTGAAATTGTGTATGTCCAGCAATTTCATCTAAATATATACATTCCAGAAGCCCTAGACAGTAGGTGCAAGGGCCTGTCTAGAAGCATATTCCTTGCCCCTTGGTTCGTGATGGTAAAAAGTCAGGAATGGTAGGCAGATACATCAATAAAATATTTTTACACAGTAGAATTCTATAAATTTGTAACAAGCAATAAACTAGATGTGTGTATCATAACAATACGGTTATTTGCTCAAAGTCGGACACCAGTTCAAATCTTGTATCTGCTACAAACTACATGAGTAACTTTGGACAAGTAACTCAACCTGTGTGTCTCAACTTCCTCATATATAAAAAATGGATAAAAACAGTGTATACCATGTAGAATTGTTATGAGGATTAAGTGAGGTAATATTTGTAATTAAGTGCTAAAAACAGTACCTGGCATTTAAAAGTGCTACTGTAGTGAGGATAAATGCACAAATATATACAAATCAACATGAATATGTTTTAGATCATTTTATTTAAATAAATTTTATATAAGAAGAAAGTTACAAATATATATACATATCCAATAAGATGGCATATTAAAGTAACAATAAATGGTATAAATCTATAAAATATGTAAGACAATTTCCTGGAGTGCTTTGCAAAAATGAAGGCATTATTGTGATACCTTTGGAAAGATGTGAAGAAGAGTCAGACTGAGCTTGGTCTACAAGGGGTCTCTCTCTGTAAGGTAGTGATTAGAATGGCGGTTACTATAGACTTGGAAGTTTAGTGGAAAGAAAGGAGAGAGAGCTGTTGGTTAATGGGTGCAAAAATATAGCCAGATAGAGGGAATAAGCCTTAGTGTTCACTAACACAATATGGTAACTGTAGTTAACAAAAATGTATTCTACATTTCAAAATAACTAGAAAAGTGATTTGGAATGTTCTCAACATACAAAATAATGATAAATGTTTAAGGTGATGGATATGCCAATTGTCCAGATCTGATCATCACACATTGTGTGGCTATATCAAAATATCACATACACCCCATAAATAGGTGCAACTGTTAAGTATCCGTGAACATTTAAAATAAAAAAGAGAAAGATGACAACGTAACACAAAGAAAACTACTCTAGAATTTCCTTTAATACTTCATGTAATTTTCTATATGTACGTTTTCTAGTAAATGCAAGGGTAAGGGTAAGGTCTCAGAAAGAATAAGAAGAACCGAGAAGTCTAAGCAGAGCTGTTTAGAAACCGCCCCCTACCCCCCCCCCCCTTTTTTTTTTTTTTTGAGACGGAGTTTCTCTCTTTGTTGCCCAGGTTGGAGTGCAGTGGCGCGATCTCAGCTCACTGCAAACTCTGCCTCCCGGGTTCAAGCTAGTCTCCTGCCTCAGTCTCCTGAATAGCTCGCCACCACGTCTGGCTAATTTTTGTATTTTTAGTAGAGATGGGGTTTCACCATAGTAGCCAGGCTGGTTTCAACCTCCTGACCTCATGATCCGCCCACCTGGCCTCCCAAAGTGTTGGGATTACAGGCATAAGGCACCACACTTGGCCTTTTTATTTAAAATGAAAGTCACGGCCGGGCGCGGAGGCTCACACCTGTAATCCTAGCACTTTGGGAGGCCGAAGTGGGTGGATCACGAGGTCGGGAGATCGGGACCATCCTGGCCAACATGGTAAAACCCCGTCTCTACTAAAAAATTAGCTGGGCATGGTGGCACGTGCCTGTAGTCCCACCTACTTGGGAGGCTGAGGGAGGAGAATTGCTTGAACCCCGGGAGGCGGAGGTTGCAGTGAGCCGAGATCGTGCCACTGCACTCCAACCTGGCACCTGGCAATAGAGCAAGACTCTGTCTCAAAATAAATATAAAATAAAATAAAATAAATAAAGTCACAGGTGATGAGGGTCTGAAGATGTAAAGTGGGTGAATTTGAAGCAGGAAGGGTGAAGTTAGAGGAGGTGCCAGGTGGTGGGTGAACTTGAAGGCTGTAGTGAAGTTAGAGGAGGTGCCAGGGCCTGGGAAAGTCTCAATGAGGCAGGATGACCTCTGAGAAAGCCACAGGCCTGGATAGGCTTGCGTGGGGACTGGGGAAGAGACCGTGAAAAGGATACTCCAGTGAGTTCTCATCAAGCCCTTTATTCAGTAGTGGGTCCTTCATAGTTAGCATTAATGTTTAACAGACACATTTCCCCCTGGGTGAGAATTTCAAAAACAAAATCTAGTGTAAAGCAGCTGTTATGAAGAAGATTCTTTACTGACCAGACAATAAAAGTCTCTTCTAGGTCTGGAGAAAGCAGAAAATTAAAAAGTGAACAAGAAGAAAAAAAAAAGGTATAGAGTGGAATACATGGATTTCTACTATTTCTACTACCCCTAATATTTGGCTAATTTGAAAGATTGTCATCAGTCTCTGGAAACACTGCAATAGAAGATTGTCAGTTTAAAGCTTCTGCTACATTGCTATGTTGACTTGGGAAAAAACAATCACTTTTCAAGTATTTCAGATCACAAACTGCTTGTGGCTACAGGATACTCTAATGATGGGTTCATTCTCTGGAGTGTTGTTATGCCTAAATTTCTAAAGAGGGGAAAGGAAAGGAAAAGAAGAGGAGGAAAAAGAAAGGGAGGCAGGGAGGGAGGGAAGGAAAAGGGAAGAGAAAAGAAAAGAGGGAGGTAAGGAGGGAGGAAGGAAGGGAAGGAAGGGAAGAGAGAAGATTTCAATATCATGTTTTCCCTGACACACCAAGATAGTGAGTTTTTCTTTTTATACTGACACTTTGCCTATGTACCTAGAGCACATGGAGTGTTTATGAGTTCTGGAATCCACTTTTGAAATGTTGAGGCTACTCTTGTTTTGCTTGTTCTGCCTTTCAGAGGGACACATTTATTAGCATTTGTGAGTTGTTCATTTGCATTTGTACTAAGTGCACACATAACTCCTAATGAAAAAAAGTGTTAAGTCAATTAGAAATGGGTGGAGGGAGTGTTAATTGGAATGGACTTATTCCCAAGTTATTTTAGTGTTTCCCAGCCACAGGCAGCTGGTCTAGAAAGGCTAGAACTTTTGGATATTAGAAAGTGGTTGTTTTATTTTTGTTTTTGTTTGTTTGTTTGTTTGTTTTTAGCAGAGTCAACATTTAGTGAGAAAAGAAAAAATATTTCTCATTCTGAAGGAGTTAAAAGCTGCCATCATAAGGAATCCCATGTGTTGGGGTGGTGCATGCTTTTTAGTAAATTTAATAGGTGTCCATTCATAAAGCACAGCTTATTTTACTTTGGTGAATCAGAGTGATGGTTTAAGTATTGCACAAGGGCACTTCATGTGATGCGTGCCACACTTTAGATTCTGCATGGGAGAGATAATCATAAAACAAAGTAACTAAGCGCTCTGAAGCCGCGTGCTTTGGAATAAAGCAAGTTAATTTTCAGGTAGTTAAGAGGCTCTCTTTTCGATAACAATTGTGAATGCCATTTTCCTTAGTTAAACCAAATAAAATGTCAGATTCAAAAGAAGAAGAATAGGCACAGATAAGAAGCCTCTTTCTGCCATTGATCTAAGCATGGATTACCAAGATTCTTTTCTCTTTCATGGGCTAGGAAGTGAAATATACTTTAAGTGTATAAAGATCAATAAGGTATAGAATTTCCCTGTTGAACACTATTCAATGTGAATATCCTTAAGAAAGGTAAATAAGGCTTTATTAAGCTTTTATATCTTAGTATAAATAAGTTTAATACTTTCTTTTCTAAGACAAGTTGAAGTTGAATTTACTTTTATATTTGCAAGGTATTTGCAGCTTGACTCTGGATAAGAAAACTATGCTTAAAGCTTCAATTTTGCTTCTAGCTTATGGAGAAATTAGGGTAAACTTAATGAAGCTCCCTGAGAGGTAATTTTTTCCATGTACAGGTTGACCAGAGGATGTTTCAAGACCCATGTAACTCTAATATTTCAAGGTAAAAGCTTCAGAAAAAAATGTTAAGAATTCCTCAAAGTTTATTTTAGGTATAAACTAATAATTGTGGCTAAGAATCTGTCTTTTTATCCAGAAAAAAAATGGAAATACAACAAAACAAAAAATGATGAGTTGATGTAGAGCATGACCATGGAATGATGCTTGCTACAAGATAGGCTCATCAGCAAATGTCTGAAAAACTTCTATATAAAGTCTTACTAAAAAAGTTGTGTTTATTGTTTCCTAAGTGAGCTTTGTCTAATGTAGCCTCTCGTTAAGGAAGATGCCTGGTATGGACACCCAGGATAATGCTGCACTCCGCAATTCTGATGATTTCTTAAGATATCAGTACAAGGTTTGACAGATTGCTGAGACTACCGAATATAGTTAGTATTTGGAGAAATCCACTGTTTCTAGTAACAAGTGAAATACTTGTGTGAAAAAAAAAAAAGCAAACTATTTTGAATAGTAACTACTGATGCTCCTGATACATTAATGGAAGTGAAGAAAGAATTTTGTGTAATTCCATTTGGTACAGTAAGTACTCACTGTACTCACAAATAAGAAGAGGCAAGATAGTCATAAACGTGATGACATGTAACATTGAAGGTCAGACCACAGTGAATTTCGGGGAAAGAACACTGAGTGGCTTCCTTCTAAGTGTTCCAGAGTGACTAAAGTACAACTCAGTATATGAAGATGTGATAAACAATAACCAAGGGAAGCATTCTTATAATAAAAGGTGAGCAAGGAGGAGGGAGTGTTCAGACAGTGAACACACCCAGGTCTAAGAGTCTATATAACTTGGAGTCCAGACTATGACATTCAAACTCAGAGAATCTTTCCACTACAACTCAGCTGAACACACATCTCCCGTCAGCATGTCCTACAACCGCTGCTCTGAAAACTTCTCCTCCCGCTCCTGTGGGGGCTACCTGCGCTACCCAGGCTCCTCCTGTGGCTCTTCCTACCCCAGAAACCTGGTCTACAGCACTGAGCTCTGCTCTCCCAGCACCTGCCAGCTGGGTTCCTCTCTCTACAGGGGCTGTCAGGAGGCCTGCTGGGAGCCTACCAGCTACCAGACATCCTGTGTGGAGTCCAGCCCCTGTCAGACCTCCTGCTACCGCCCCAGGACATCCACGCTCTTCAGTCCCTGCCAGACGACTTACTCTGTGCCTCTAGGCTTTGGTTCCAGCAGCTGCCGCCCCCTGGGCTATGGATCTAGGAGCTGCTACTCAGTGGACTGTGGATCCAGTGGCTTCAGATCCCTGGGTTATGGAGGCTGTGGCTTCCCTTCCCTGGGCTATGGATCTGGATTCTGCCGCCCAACCTACCTGGCTTCTAGGAGTTGCCAGTCTTCTTGTTACAGACCAGCCTATGGATCAACCTCCTGTAGATCAACTTGCTGAATTTCCAGACCTTTTAAGCAAAATGTCTCGGTCTCTATGTAGAGCTGCTATCATAGGCTTTTCCAGTCATGTGAGCTAACTAACCCCTCTTACCACCAGCTCTTTATCCTTTCTCTGGCATCAAGTACTGGCTGGACAGGCTAGTTCTTCAGATTGTGAAATTAATGAATGACCAAAATATAGAGTCAAATGTCTATCATTTTGAAACAAGTGATTCATTATTATGTAAGTTAATCTTATAAAGTATATGGAAGTTCAGTTTTGTCTCACCTAATAAATTCATTTACTGTTGATTCTAATATGTTCTTTTTGTCTTTTATTGCTTTTCAAAGTTTGATTTGTGATCTGTCTTTGGGGCTACAGGCCCCCAGAGGTCCTTTACTTGGACATCTATTTCCTTAGGTCATGTCATCAGGCCTTGTGTATGGGGAGATTCTGTGGGAACTCCATTGCCTAAAAGGCAACAAGTGCGTGTCTTCTGCTATGAAAACTGGTTGGATTCTTAACAGAATTATTGAGAATAGGCCCATAACTATGGTGAGTTTTCAAAAAAGACACATTTTGCTGACAATCACATTTGTTTTTTGTTTACATTTTAAAAACAGTATTCACAGTTTTCTCAGAAGATGTCAGCTAGGTGATTAAATTTAAAATATATAAATTATTTGAAGAAATCTGATGTGTTAGGATGAAAAAGAGAAAATACAAAGTGTTAGATACTGGACGGCATTATGGTTGTGTTTAAATATAGGACAAAATAAATTATCCAGTGTGTGCATGTGTGTGTATGTTGTGTGTGTGTGTTGTGTGTGTGTGTGTGTATGAGAGAGAGAGAAGCAGAGAAAACAAAGACTTAAGGTTTACAACTGTGAGTAATGGAAACAGTTATAGGGAGAAATTACTTTGGCTTGTTACAAATTTATATTTATAAATTATACATTTATATAACTATTATAACCTGTGTGTTTTTCTTTAAGTTATTGAGTTTCTCAACAAGGAAAAATCTATTATTTTTCAGTGATTTCTGCATTGAGTGGGAGTTTAAATTAGATTACTTTCAATATTCTAGATCTTATAACCTTCCTCCATATCCCTGGAATCCACTGCTCAATTGTGACAGTGTGAATAAAAATAAATATTTGTAGGATGCTATTCAGATCTAAGACATAACAACTTCTTTGTTTATTTTAATTTGAGCAAGCAATTTCTTTCAGAGGCTAAAAGTAGCATAAAAATTCAGTTAAAACTTATCAATGAAATATTTAGTAAAAACTCTCTATGTATGGGAAAATAACTTTCAAAGATTATCATTTCCTTCAATAATATGTCATGAGCTTTAACTGATTTTTCTTTGCTGATACCGTTTCCTTAAGCTTTAAAATTAAATCTGAAACAAGAAGGTATCCTTTCTCTTATACTGGAGACAATATGGGCTAAGCATGGAAGTGTGGGAACCATATCCTCTCATCATAGAAACCTGCCCGATACAGAAACTAAGAATAGAGAAGGGAGACCCAAGAAGAAATGCCAGTGACATGGGAGTCTCTGATTCCCATGTCCCTTAAGCCAGCTTTATTCATCGTTTAAGTGTTTTGATTATATGGGTCAATAAAGTTTTCTTTAGGTTTAAACCAAATAAAATGATTGAAATAAAATAAGACTTCTGGCAAACACATACTAATATTTACAATTAATAAAAAATTGTCATCAAGTGCAGAGTTACTCATTGACTTTGATGTAAATAGGCAATTAAAAATTTTTATTAGTTTGGGAAAAAGATCCTGTGAGTCTGAATTATGCCATTAGCATTGAAGGTGGACTACTAATTTATCTTTAAATAATGTAGAATGAATAAAATGTGGATTAAAGAGGCCATTTGAGAAAACGAACCCAAAGGGGTCACAGTAGCATGGCCATTAAGAAAGTCCTGGGAGCTAGAGGCTCATAACTTCAAGAGCGGAAGGCACCCAGCCAGCCCTGTAAAAAGAGACGAGCACAGGGAAATGTTCAAAACACAGCAATCCCAAGACAGAAGGAAGGGATGTCCAGTGACATACAGGATCTAGCTCTGGAGCGACCTGAAGAATTTCCCCCATTCTAATGCAATCTTTGAAGTGGAAGGCAAAAAATTGAAACAGGGAGTCAAAGAGTAGAGCAGGAAATTAGCACATTAGAATACTTTCAATATTTAAATCTTTCGAAGTATAATGTGAAGATTCAGATTTCAGGGATCAGACAAAATGAATATTCTTTGCCTCCTCCATTATCTGCATGAGTAATCTTTCCGTAATATGTCATCTCTGCTAATGTCCAACTATTTTTTTTTCTTCTCCCACCTATTCTCTTTCCTTTTCTCCCCCTCCTCCTTCTCTCTCTTCCCCCATGAATCAATTACCTCCCACTGGGTTCCTCCGACGACACCTGGGGATTTGATGAACTACAATTCAAGACGAGATTTGGGCGATGACGCAGAGCCAGACCATATCACAGCCTTTGTACATTATCCCCTTCATTTGATTAATCTATTAAAACTTGTTTTAAATCTCAGTAATGTTTCATTTCAACATGTATCCTTTTAGATAAAGTAGATCTTTACAAGTAAGTAGAAAACAGCACAGAAAAATTAGACTGGGAAACAGGGGAATAAAATTCACTAGCACCAAAACTGTGTAATCTATTATTTTGCATTAGTGTGTGTGCTCTGGTGTGTGTTTTGGATGCTCTACCTTTTATAGAAATATCTCTTTTCCTGTGAAATATATACTGCATTGTCAGCCTAGAGATGTGATTCTGTTTATATGATTACTATAGGTAGTCTGGAATTTTGAAATCTCTTAAGTTTTTTCCATTTATAGAACCATATAAAGGAAAATAGAGTAAGTAAAGAAATGCATGTTTGGAGTTAGATTATATGCTTGGTTCTCTTGTTAAATTAGGTCTTGATCTTATACTTAGAAATTAACCTTGGGTGTCACGTTCCTGATACGTAAAATGAGATGGCACTTCATAATTTGTGATCTCAGAGGTTCCTTCCAGTATTACAGACATATTCACATTTTATAATGAGTGTTAGTAGTAGTATATGGGGATGGGGAGTGAGCTGTTAAAGTTCCCACCACAGTTTAAATTCTTCTACATGTCGTAGGAAAGGAAAGGGAAGGCAAATGTTTAAAATGTGATGCAATAGTATTAAGATAAATTTTGAAAAAGGTAAAATCATGATTCCTACAGAAATGAAAAAATAAGCACATATAATTTTTTTTTAACTCATTAATAAATGTGGGGACCGCTAAAATGCTACAACTGGTTCAAATGATAATTCAGAGAACACACTTACACAGGTTGTTAGGAAGGTTGAAACGAATTCACAGATAGATGCAAAGTAAGCACTGTACAAAGAGTAAAAATCAGCGTAATCCCCCCTGACAGAAACTATTTCATTTCTATGGACTAGAATCATTTGCATTATTAACAATTTTTTTCAACTTACAGAATTATGCAGGAGTTCAGAAACAATGATAGGGGACAATACCCTGAAAAATGACTAGACAGGCCCCGCGGTCATTCACTTCCCCCATTCCAGAATTCCACAATTGTTTTCTTTCAAAAGTATGCGAAATCAATATTGTTATTTGTAAAACTCAGTAACACATGTGCTGCAAAAGTCTGAATATCATTTTATCCTTTAATAAGGAAACAAAAAAGAAAAAGAAATTATGCCTATTATTTCCTGGAAAGAATTACTTTACCTTATCAATTTAGTCTTTTTTTCCTTTTTTCTCATCTTTACTGAGGTATACTTGACAAATAAAAATTATATAAATTTAAGAAGTATAAATTGATGTTTTGAGATACATGTGTAATATATTTACACATACTGTGAAATCAGCACGCTCAAGGTAATTAATATATTCATCACTTCACAGTTTCCATTTGATTGATCATTTGACTGTGGCAAGAACACTGAAGGTCTACCCTTTCAGCAAATTTTAAGCATGCGATACAGTATTGTTAACTATAGTCACATTGCTGTATATTAGATATCCAGAACTTAATGGTCCTGCATAACTGAAACATTTTACCCTTTAACCAACATCCTCCCATTTTACCCTCTGCAGGCCCTGGCAGCTACCAGTCTACTCTCTGCTTCTGTGAGTTTAACTACTTTGGATTTCTACATACATGATATCATGTCGTATTTTTCTTTCTGTGTCTGGCTTAGGTCTCTTAGCATGATGTCCTCCAGGTTCATCCAAAAGTTTTGCATTTCTAATGGCAGTGCTTCTACATGTGACTTGGGGAATAAAAGGACATGATTACATAAATCTGCCATATTTTGACTTCATCTTTCTTTCTGCTCTGGACTACAACTCCCGCCACTCACCTCAAATGCTGCATTACTTTCTCCTGTTGTTGTCTGGAAAAAACAAGCTTCCTTCTTTTAACTTCACATTTAACTAAATCAAATAACATTCTATAAATGTAAAAGGGCAAAATATGTGTCGTAAATTTCTGACTCACTACATAAACATTCATATGGACTGAATGTTCATGTTCCTCCAAAATTCATGTGTTGAAACAAAGGGATTACCCAGTGTGAAGGTATTTGGAGGTAGGACCTTTGGAAGGTTATTACGTTTAGATGAGGTCTTTAGAATGGAGCCCCCCCTCTCACCACCTATGATGGGGTTAGGGCCCTTATAAGAAGAGGAAGAGGCCAGAGCTCTCTTTCTACTCTGTGAGGATGAAGCAAGATGATAATCATCTGCAAACCAGGAAGAGGTCCCTAATCAGAAACCACACTAGCTAAAAACTTCCAAGGCTCCAGAACTGTGAGCAATAAATGTATGTTTTTCAAGCCACCCACTCTATGTTATTTTGCTATAGCAGCCCCAAGCTAACTAAAATGATTATCTTTTTAAATTTTTTCTGACGTTAAGAAGCTAATCATTAGCCAGGTGTGGTAGTGCATGTCTGTAGTCCCATTTCCTCGGGAAGCTGAGGTAGGAGGATCTAAGCCAGGAGTTCCAGGCTGCGGTGAGCTGTTGATTGCACCACCACAGTCCAGCCTAGCCAGCAAAGCAAGATCCCGTCTCTAAAAAAAAATAAAATAAAATATTAATCATAAATGGGAGAATTATTCTTCTGGACTGTGATAGTGGTTACACTAATCTATACATTAGATAAATTACATGGAACCGTACACATACTAACACAAATGAGCACATATATAAACCAGTAAAACTCAATAATGTCTGTGGTCTAGCTAACAGCATGGCACCAATATCAATTT